GGCGAGAGGGTAGAAGGCCCGACCGGGAGCCTCCCGAGACCAGCCGGCCGTTCGGGAGGCAGGGGGACCTGGCGGGCGCGGGGTATGCCGGGAGGTGTAGTCCGGCCGCCCTGGAGGGGGGGAGGCTTTGCCTTGCTTCCCCTTTTGGGGGGTCCCCCTCGTGGCCTTTCCCGGGGGCCGAGCGAGCCTCCCCCCCACCGGCTCTCCCTTCCTCCGCAGCCCGGGCCCCTTGTCTTCGCCTTGGGCAGAGCTGGGGGGGAACCCCTCATTTCCCCCTGGAGGGGAGGCGGGCTTTATTGGGGGACCCCCTGCCCCCCTTTTCTCTCTGGCATGCCACCTCCAGGAGTCCGGGTGCAGAGCCGGGTGGGGCCCCCTTCCTGGGACGTGAGTGGGCGGGGCTTGCCCTCGTGGGACTCGGGTTCGAGTCCTGCCAGGCAGTCCCATGGAGTAGGAGGGGGTGGCAACGGGACACACACACATATCGCTTGGACATCAGTTGGACCTCAGCCGCACCCTCTTGAGGGTTGCCCAGAGTCGGACTCCGCTGGATGGCAAAGAACGGGCAGCAAGGTCCCAAATCCCCCCCTGGATCCAAAATCCCCCTGGATAAGACCTAACCTGAAAATAAACCCTAGTATGGTTTTTTCAGGATGCTGGCCTTAAAAGCCCTACCCCCCCCAAAAAATGAGCCCCACTTAAGCGAAACCCTGCTATAAATGACACTGTTTTCCTGAAAATAAGATCTCACCTGAAAATAAGCCCTAGTATGGTTTTTTCAGGATGCTCGTCATAGAAGCCCTACCCAAAAAAATAAGCCCGTGTTAAGTGAAACCCCGCCAGCCACCCTTGTGCAGCAACCAGAAGAAGAGGACAGGGCTGTATTGGAATAAATGCAGATGGTTGTAATTTAAGACCCTGTCTTATTTTCGGGAAAACATGGTAGTTGCGTCCCATCAGGTCAGTTCTGATTTATGGTGATCCTTTGAAACTTGTCTAGGTAGAGAACACTCAGAATTGGTTTCCCCTTCCCTTCTTCTGGGGGATAAATCTTTGGACAGTACAGCCGGCCCAAGGCTACAGAGGGCTGGCTTTTCTCCCGGGAGGCCCAGAGGGGGAATCGAACCCCCAACCTCTGGCTTAAAAAAATCCAGAAGGCTGGCTGTATAATAGGCCCCTTCCAACATCACTATTCTACGCTATAATAGGCCCCTTCCAACATCACTGTTCTACGATAATAGGTCTGTGGTGTCTTTAGCTGTTCCATCTGTAAACAGGGACAACTTGACTTATCCTTGAGAAGGTGAGATCTGTTTGAATTCCAGCCTGTGGCTTCCAGTTCATTGTTTCCCTGTCGTCGCACCCATGACTGTCCGTGTGTGCAGAATATTCTCATGGCATATTCAACATGCACTGTTGCTTTATGCAGAACTGCTTGTTGTGCAACCAAATGCCGGCATCTTTTGTGATGTTTCTTAACCCAAAGAGTATTCACTGTTGCTTTATACAGAACTGCCTGTTGTGCAACCAAATGCCGGCATCTTTTGTTGGGGCTGACTGTTTCTTCGGATTTTTGTCTGTCTTGCAGCCCACACCTGTTATCCTCCTGAAGGAAGGGACCGACACTTCCCAGGGGATCCCCCAGCTTATTAGTAACATCACAGCATGCCAGATCATTGCAGAAGCTGTCCGGACCACGCTTGGCCCCCGAGGCATGGACAAACTCATCGTCGATGACAGAGGTGAGCTTGAGGCCATCGTCTGTTACGGGGCTGCAGACCTATTGGGGTTCTGTCGTACAGGTAGCTCTGCACCGTCATGCTCTCCTTGCTGCAGTTTCAATCTGTCCGTGGCAGCGATTGGAGAGCCAGGGTTGGCTCAGTATTGCCCTACGGCTGTAGTCCCCAACCTTGGGCTCCAGATGTTCTTGGACTTTAATTCCCAGAAATCCTGGCCAGCAGAAGGCCTCTGGGAGTTGTAGTCCAAGAACATCTGGAGGCCCACGGCTGGGGACCACTGCCCTACGGGATAATAAATGTCATTCTTTGGGTTGCTGTAGCTGGTTGTCTTGTGTTGATTTTCATAACTGAACACTCTTGTTATTTGACCGTTAGGTCCCTGCTGAAGTCACCGAGGCATTAATCAGCTGGAAATGGCATATTGAATAAGGGTACCTACGTGAAAGAGTTTGCTTTTGTAACAAGGAAGCACAAAGTGGAAAAATGAAGGGATTTTGGCAGCTGTCCCCCGGTGTACCTTAGCTGACATATTTTCTTAATTACAAAGGCTGTGGGGAAGTTAATTTTTGTGAACCTGTTGGCTGTTAAATGTCAGGCACACGAGGCTAGGAGGGCTGGGAGGATGACAGGCTGGATTCAGTGGGTTTTCTGTACTGGTGACTCTTATTTACCTTGTATTTCAGTCATTGGGTGAGATCCCAATTGTTTCACTGTAAAGTTTCCAGTTGCATTAAGTGGCTCCAGGTTTTGGGGAGTAGAGGGCTGTAAGGCCAAGTTAGGCACCCAAACGTGAGCCGTCTTTGGACAGCAGGTTTCTTAATGTTTACGGTTAAGAGCTGAAATCCTCTGCGGAGGCTCACACAGAGGTGCGTCATGTATCTTCCAGAGTGATTTGCTTTTTAATTTAATTTGGCTTCCCGGAGCTGTTGTGGAGGTATTTCTCAATCTTTTGCAAGACTCGTTGCAGATTTTGGAGTCAGGGGGGACGATGCCGTCTACCCAGCTTCAAAAAAGATTTGGGGAGGACCGTTCGAAAATGGCCGTGCACTTAATGGTGCTTAGTCCCCTAGCGTCTGGCATTCAGTGCTGTGTTCTAGTGCAGTGTTTCCCAACCTGGGGTCACCCAGGCCAGCACAGCTGGTGGTGAAGGCTTCTGGGAGTTGCAGTCCAAGAAAATCCGGGTGACCCAAGGTTGGGAAGAGAGATTCAATCTATTGGAAACAGGTGGTGGATGGGTACTTCCCACTGATTGTACTGGTCTCGGAGGTCCTCTGAAGCTCAGCAGATAAACTTCCCCTTGCAAAGCCGGTTGTGTTGGATGTAGAGCAAAGTCTTACACTAGCTTCCAAGCCGAAAGGTGGTGGTGGAGGAGAAGCTGGCGTAGCCTGCATCATTAAACAGCAAACTGCCCAGAGAGAGCTTTTAAGTGCCACGGGCTGACCTATAAAGCAGCTCTCTTCGCTTTTCTTACTCTTTGGCTTTAGAGTCCTGTTTGACCCGTTTGAACCTGGCAGACAAAGCTCATTTAGATGTTTGACCCTCCAGACTTTGCCGTTCTTCAATTTTTTTCCAGGCAAAGCCACGATTTCCAATGATGGGGCCACTATCCTGAAGCTCCTTGACGTGGTCCATCCTGCTGCAAAGACTCTTGTAGACATTGCCAAGTCCCAGGATGCAGAGGTGGGTATAAAAAGGCTGACGTTTCTCAGATAAGGAGCACAAAAAAAGAGAGATCTTTTTGCTTGGTAAAGACAAGTGTTTCCCACCCCCCTCCATGTGTGGCCTACCAGATGGGTCCAAAATGCTTCTCTCTGCAAAGATAGCAAAGTAGCTTTCTCTTAGAGGCAGCTGTTCTGTTCAAAGAAAGACCTGGAGGTGCACACAAAGGAGAACGGCCATAGTGTTTGCCACCATCACTGCCTGGCGACTGGCCTTAAGGGGATGCTGCCACCGCTAGCCAAGTGGTTGCTTTTGTGGACACTTCAGGGGTGAGACCTCCTGGGAAGGTGAAGCCCAGGGCTGTTGCTCCTGCGGCCGTCATGCCGTCTCCTTGTAAGGACGGTTGCTGATCTTGTTGACCCTCCAGTGGCGGATCCTTCCGCAGCAGGATCTGACCGTTCCTTGCCAGTTGATGGGGTGCTGGGTGGAGCTGCCTGAGCAAGAGGGAGCAGATAGGCCTAGAGCGTGAGGGGTGCTTTGCACGAAGGGAGATCTTTCTCTGAGCGGCTGTCTCTTTCGGCAGGTTGGCGATGGCACCACGTCTGTTACCCTCCTGGCTGCCGAGTTCTTAAAGCAGATCAAGCCCTACGTGGAGGAAGGGCTGCACCCCCAAATCATCATCCGTGCCTTCCGTACCGCAACCCAGCTGGTAAGGGTGTCCTTGGCATCAGTCTTTGTCGATAGAGGAGAACCAGGCAAAGACGTTGATGGAGAGTCGTCACTCAGGCTCGATCTGGGGAATTTGAAACCTGTTTAGTGACCTAGAAGCAGCTGGCTCGTTTCCATCATCCTAGCAGCTGCTAGATGGCACATGTTTGGGGGTTTCAAAGTCCTCCCCCCCCACCCCAAAAGGGATCATAAGATCCTCTTCAACAGTGGAATTACTAGGCACGTATTCAGTCAGAAATCCTGGCTGTTGTCCTTCACATTAACCTTGTTTATACATATTATGGAACAGGATATGTGCCTTGGAGGTGGATGTCGGTTTCTTCCTTACCTCTTTTTATTATTTGTTTATTTAAATTATTTTTACCCTGCCTTTCTCCCTAAAAGAACCCAAGGCAGCAGTATTGGCAAGGGGCAGAGGATTTGTGTATTGTTTTAACCTTAAGACACGGTAGGCCGTTTCTTCTTCTGAAACATGGTTCTCCCAAGTGATACGCAGGAGCACGTAAAAGCATGGAACGACCATCCATGAAGTTGAGAGGAATGCTTGTTAAACCGAGTGAAAATACCTCTGCTTAAAAATATTCTCACTTGGTCTCAAAACCAGTAGCGACAGGATAGTCCCTGCTCACCGTTGATGGGTAGGGCAGTTTGGGCAGGATCCCAGAGAACGAACACCCTGCCACCGTGAATCCTCGTTGTCACCCACCTTCCAAAACAAGAAGTCAGCGTGATCGCCCAAAAGCTGTCTGGAATTAGCAGGAGTTAAGTGCAAAGCGTTCATTGTGGTTCTCCTCCTGTTGGCAGGCTGTGAATAAGATCAAGCAAATTGCAGTTACAGTCAAGAAGACAGACCAAGCGTAAGTTTCTTCTTCCTGTCTATGTGCTGGTTAAGATCAAAGCTGCCCCTTTCCTGTTCAGTTGACTTTGCTGGATTTTATTGATTTTTTTAAAAAAAATTGACTGCATGTGTCTGCGCGTATGTGTTTATAGATGAATATCCTGTTTTGGGAGATGGAGAAACACATTACAGCCTTGTTGGGAGGGTGTGTGAGATTCAGCTGGAGATGGTGATAAACCAGCGTTGAGGCTTTGATGCCCCATGATTGATGCTTGCAATTTGCAAAAAATGGTTTTAAGCGGTGGATTCCTCAACCCAGATGTTCTTGTATACTGTTGTTCTTCTGAAAATATCAGATCATTCCCAACATGCCCACTTAAAAATTGGGTAAACCTTGTCTTCTACTGTTAGGCATTCATCCCTCAGCCATTCTATGCCCTTGCACCCATGCAGGATGCTCAGGGTAAGCAAGCGGGGGAGTGGGGAGGAGGAGGCGGTGGCAGCAGCCACATAAGGCCCCTTCAGCTGCCACTGAGTGAATAAGTTAGGATACTTTCTCTTCCGTCGCTCCTTGCACCTCCTGCTTTTCCTTTGTCTGTTGTTTGGATCCTTTGTTGGCTGCAAAGCAGCCACCTCTTGCTGCCTCTGCTGCCAGACTAGCAGGCTGTGTGTGTGTGTGTGTGTGTGTGCACGCGCTCACACGCTTTCAGATCGACAGGACCTTCACTAAGAGAAAGGCTTTGGTGAAGCTTCTGTCTTGCTCGTGTGACTTTAAGAGTAGGTATTTGGGTAAATGGCAAATAACGTTTAACCGGTGGAGCTGTAGTTTGGTCTTCTTCCCTCTGAGCCAGCCTTCTAGTAATAAAGGTTCTTTTGTCTATTTCATTTCACTTACGTTATTTTGCTGGTGTTTTTAGATGTCAAATGATAAACGGGAGCGTAGAATAGTGCAGTGGTGACATAAAACACTGCAGTCTAATTATGTTTCAGCAGAGAGCAGAGTGAAACAGCAGGACCGAGATTTTTCAAGATCTGTGTAGCAACTTAGTGATAAACACCTCAGATGCTTTCAGAGTGGCTTGGCAGAAGCAAAATAAGCCTCTTTTTGACACTGCAAGGACCATAAAGAAAACAAGCCTCATGGTGCAGCGTATTACCGTGGGCGTACTAGCGTTTATGGGCACTAAAAGTGGCATATCTAATGCCTGTGGGATAGCATTATTTCATAATTATGTTTATTGTAGCTTCTAATAGAAAGTAGCCGTAAGCAAGGAAGCGGCTCTTGCCTTCCCTTTTGTTAGAGCTAGGGACTGACTAGAAGGTCCAGTAAGGTTTGGAGTGGTGCCGGGGATGGGGGCACAACGTTTATCCTCCTAAATGTACGCTGCGTTGCTCTGTGGGTGTCTGTCTTGGTGCCTGTTCTGGCATGGGCGCTTCTTGAGCTGAAGGGTTGGCTAACGATCCAGGGGGATTGAAAGCGGAATTAATGATGCCTCCTCCCCACCCACTGCAGGGAGCTGAGGAGTCTCCTGGAGAAATGTGCAAGCACAGCCTTGAGCTCCAAGCTGATCGCTCAGCACAAGGGCTTCTTTGCCCAAATGGTGGTGGATGCAGTCATGATGCTAGATGAGCTGCTGCAGATCAAGATGATCGGGATCAAGAAGGTGCAGGGAGGGGCCCTAGAGGTAAGTCGGTGGCCTCCACATGATCGGAATCTCTCACTCTGAACCGCCTCCTAAATCTGAAAGCCAAGAAAGAGGATGGCAAGAAAATACATCTCATGGGAAGGTGGGAGCTATGCTGGGAAAAGACAGTAATACAGTTTGATGGACTAAAATGGTAGCAGACACTTAATCAGCAAGAGGCATGGTTGAAGTTAGAGAACGTGCTTTTGGCAAATGGTCTTTAGGAGCGTTCTGTTTTGGCAATGGGGAGAAGGAAAGGCGTATTGATAGCCTTCCCTGGCAGGACTTTGGCTGAATTCTCATTTGTTGGAGGGCCGGATGCTTCAAAAAATATTAATTTTTGCTCCAAAAATGCAGTAGGGCTGATTTTCAGGGGATGATTCATTTTGTTTTCATGTACAACCATCTACATTTATTCCAATACAGTCCTGTCCTCTTCTTCTTCTGGTTGCTGCACAAGGGTGGAAGGTGGGCTTTCATTTCACTGGGGCTTATTTTTGGAGTAAGACTTCTATGACAAGCATCCTGAAAAAAATACTAGGGCTTATTTTCAGGTTAGATCTTATGATCGGGGAAACAGGGTAGAAATAATTTGTGGGGGGGGTCACGGAGCAGATCTTCCGTTTATGGCTCCTGGTAAGAAGGACCCTATTCTTACCCTTTTTTCTTGGTGTCTGTTTTTGCTGTGCTACCTTTACTTAATAGGGTGTATGAACTGGAGCAAGCATTAACACTGTAACAGAAATAAGTGCTCATTTGCCCTCCTATGTCACAACCTTCAGGTTGGGAAACAGACGAATAAAACATAGTCTATAACAGTAGTAACATTAAACGTTTCCAACTGATAAATAAGCCAAAGTTGCCATGGGTTGTTTAATAAGAAATCAGTAACAGCGATGCGCCTCACCGTTGCTTTTTCTGTCGAATCGAGTTGCCATGTCATAAAAAGGGGAGGATGTGGAAGCCTGAAGTGCAGATACGCCGTAGAGAATACGGATCAGGCAGAATATAAAGGGACCGGTTACAGGCATCCTGGATTTTGCTGCTTTTCACGAGCCAGGAGCTGTTTTGGATGCAGAAGGGGCCCCTGCCAGTCCTGCCACCCTTACAGGAGCCTCTTTGGTCGAAGCAGCGAAAGAGAGGCGTCGTTCGGTAGTGCTCTTTTCGGGCCATGAGGGGAGCCGGCCAAGTGGGATAACCAGGAGGCCCAAACTTACCGAGCACTGCCTTTCCTCAGGACTCCCAGCTGGTGGCGGGAGTGGCCTTCAAGAAAACCTTCTCTTACGCCGGGTTTGAGATGCAGCCAAAGAAGTACGAGTCTCCCAAGATCGCCTTGCTCAACATCGAGCTGGAACTCAAAGCGGAGAAGGACAACGCCGAGATCCGAGTCCACAGTGTGGAGGTACTCGGGGGTGGGTGGGGGTCAGTTCTTTGTTTGGAGCATGTGAAGTTCTAGTTTTGGACCGTAGGACAATAAAGAAGACTAGAGGGAAATGATCATTTGTTTTTCAAATATGTAAATGTTTTGCAAAGAGAGCAGTGCTGAGAAGATCTCCCCCAAATCTGCCTTTGCAGGACTACCAGGCCATCGTCGATGCCGAGTGGAGCATCTTGTACGACAAGCTGGACAAGATCCACAAGTCCGGGGCCAAAGTGGTCCTCTCTAAGCTCCCCATCGGGGATGTGGCTACTCAGTATTTTGCTGACCGAGACATGTTCTGTGCTGGCCGAGTCCCAGAAGAAGATCTCAAGAGGACCATGATGGTGAGGTTCTGCATTTGACTTCACAGTCCTGAATGGGGGGGGGGGCTCCGTGACTCACGTTGCCCAAGCAGCGGCCAGATTCTGTTCTCATTGCATGGTTCTGCCAGACTGGAGGGTGCTGTGGGTTCAATTGTGCTTCAGTTGCATGCTTCTCTTAGGATGAGCAGGTGATCCATTGATGTGGCACTTTTGGTCCAAAAGCGTTGTGATTGTGCTGTTTCTTTGCCCTTTTACGATGTTCCCTGGAGCAATAGAAGGAAAAGGCCATTTTGAGTCCATTAAAGGTTTTCCCAAGGACCTCCTTCCTGATTGGCTTGGCTGCTGGTTTGTGTGCTGTGTGGGTCTGGAATAAGGGAACGGGAGACCGTCCAGTACACGAGGCCTTCCTGCTGGGTTTCTCTTACTCTTAAAATATGCTGTAGAACCGCAGGGCTGGCGTTCAACACAAAGTGGCCAACTGGCTGGGGTGGTGACTCTTTTTCTCCCCGTTAGTCCAAAGGAAGAGAGCCAGAGTTCCACAAAGGGACCCAGTGTTAACCAGAGTTCACGCGGGGTTGGGTAGAGAGCTTTTGCTCCCCGTTGTTTACTGGTACCCTTACCCATTGCATTGTGTCCCGGGTAGTGGTGGTGGAAGAGAACATCCATTTAGTGATTGGATTTACTTGGACGTTCAAGGCCCAGAACATTATTTTTTTTTTTAAGCCAAGTGCCCTGCCTCAAAAGGTAAAATGCTGCTTGAGATGTGTAGTGTTGTATGAAGGGTTACAAGGAATATGCAGGGAATATTAAGGTGGAATCAACAAAGTTGCAGCAACAGAGTGTTTTGAGTGATTTTTTTAATACAGTGGACCCTTGACTTACAGACGGCTTGACTTACAGACTTTTTGAGTTACAGACTTCTCTGGCCGCAAAATTTAGGTTTGACTTGCAGACTGAGATTTGACTTACAGACCAGAAAAAAACGAAAATGGAACAAAAACAGCCTGTTACGGGATTAATCGGTTTTCAATGCACTGTAGGTCAATGGAGACTTGACTTACAGACTTTTTGACTTGAGAACCGCCTTCCAATACGGATTAAGTTCTCAAGTCAAGACCCCACTGTATGCAAGAGATGTCTTGTTCATGGTGGTAAGAGGCAAGCACAAACCTCTCTGGGGGAGGACTGAGCTTGGTTTTGAAACGATTTGCTCATGTACAAGGCATACATACCCTGAACGCCTGTTGTGCTTCTTGCAACGTAGGCTTGTGGTGGATCCATTCAGACCAGCGCAAACTCCCTGACTGACGACGTCCTTGGGCGCTGCGAGCTCTTCGAGGAGATGCAGATCGGAGGGGAGAGGTAATGGGAGCCTTGGCGGGAGAGGGGGTGGAAGGAAAGGGCTCCGGAGGTGCCCTGCTGGTTCTGGATGGTCGCCACCCTCGTTTAGCAGCATTAGGATCTTTCTCCCTTCCCATAGCTGGCGTTTTGTTGTGATGCAAGAAGGGCAACGGCAAACTCTTGAGGTGCCTGAGCAACCTAACCAGCCCAGGTCTCCAGCTCTTGGGCTGGCTGCATGCTTGGCAATAGTGCCTCTGAGCATGTCGAGATCAGCTTTCACCTGAGCCAGCCCTCACACATCTTAGATAAGAGGATGGCTTCTAGGTGGGACTGGACCCCCCCCCCCAGCCTTTGCATCCGGTGGTTAATGTCCTGCCAAGTCATTGCTGCCCTGTGATCCCTCTGTGAATTAGTAACCCTTCCTTAAGGGCCTGTCATTAACATTTTGCAAAACCGAGGCTGTGGCTCTGGTATTGAGTCGATTCATTTTGTGTTCAGTCTGCCTCGTCTCCTACTACCATCCATTTGTTTCCTGGCATGACTGCCTTTCTCGTGAGCTGTGTCTTCTGGTAGTATGTGCTAAAGATTCTGCTTAGCTTCTAGTGAGAGGGCAGTCTTGCTCGGTCTGGCCTCTCTCTGAAGCGTGTTGGATCCCGAATCAATGTGGTGTAGTAAAAACAAACGCCAGCAAAGCCCATTGCGTCCGTCTTCTGAGCTGTAACTTCTGCTGTTAGTGCTATCCTGATAACCCCACTTGAAGACCAGTCCTTTGGAATAATTAAGAGGTAGAGGTTTGGAATGGTCTTCAGAGCAGAATCTGGATTCTTTGACACATTGCGGCCTGTTTTGGTATTCACTTTTTCTGCCCGGGACGTTTAAAAGTCTTAAAGGGGGGGATCCACAAGTGCCTTTTTAAAGATCGATCAAAAGTGCAGATTTGTGTGTGTTAGTCTGTAGCTGGTGAGAGGGAACAGACGTCTGATCTGTCTCCACCCCTGTGTGCCACTCTGGAAGACGATCACGGTGCTGGATCCCTCACTTTGCTCCTGCTGACACCCCTCTTCCTCTTTCTTTGGCAGATACAACTTCTTCACCGGCTGCCCGAAAGCCAAGACCTGCACAATAATCCTGCGCGGTGGAGCAGAGCAGTTCATGGAAGAGACGGAGCGCTCCCTTCATGATGCCATCATGATTGTCAGGAGATCCATCAAGGTGTGCCGGTTAAGGGGTTTGGCTTGCGCACAGGGGCTCGCTCAGACGTAGTAGCAGTCCTTGCATTGTAGTTAGGAAAAGGACGGTGAGCCAGGGTGGCATTCTGCCTTTCACATCGGAATGGGCCCAAATTTTGAGGCTAGGAGAAGCACAAATCCCTGCATCAAACTCCATGTTCCAGGAGCAACAAAAAGACACGAAAAACGGTGCACTGAATGAATGGGTTCTGGGATATTTTACAAGAATTAGAATTTATTTGTTGTTAGGATTAGGGATTGAGTTTCATGTACGATTTGTGTAGTTCCTTCGGTCACTGAGAATTCTTACGTCTACCCCACTTCCAAGGCCAGCCTGCTGACAAGCAGAGTACATCCTAATGTTTGCCTCCCTCCCTCCCTCCCCCCCCCCTTTTTTTTGGTCTCTGCTATAAAACCTTTCAGTTTGGTGCAGATTGGTTCTTTAAAGTATGTTTTTATTTATTGTTGTTTATATTCCACCTTTCTCCCAGAACGTGAATTTAAGGCAGCTTACATTATAATTTTAAGAAATAAGCCCTAATAGAAAGGTTATAAATCTTTAAAAAAAATGCATTGAAGCCAGTGATCCATTCTTTGCAAGACTGCCAGGTTTCTTTGAGTATAGGTCATGCAGGAATGGTGTCTCTTTCCTCTCTTTGGCCAACAAGCTGGCGCCTTGCTGCTGCCTTGTACAGACGTGGCAGATAAGAGAGCCGCCTGAGTCGGCGCTGGGTGAGTGTCCAGCAGCTTCCTTGTGAACGAAATGAGAGCAGACCGATGTGTGCTGTTGTCTTCACGGGGAAGTGAATAGTTCCGTCTTGTTGTGTCTTTCAGAATGACTCTGTGGTCGCTGGTGGTGGAGCTATAGAGATGGAGATTTCGAAATACCTCCGAGACTATTCCAGGACCATTCCTGGCAAGCAGCAGTTGCTGATCGGGGCTTATGCCAAAGCCCTGGAGATCATTCCGCGTCAGCTCTGCGACAACGCTGGCTTCGATGCCACCAACATCCTTAACAAACTCCGGGCCAAGCACGCACAGGTGAGCTTTTCTTGACAGAAATGTTGGGATCCAGCTGTTCTCTTGTCCGGAGTTTTGTGAACAGCAGTCTCCCTGTGTACACAGTTCCAGCCGTAGGGAGGCGAGTTGTCCGTGTCTCTTCATTACAACTCCACAGGTGGTTGTTCTGCTGAGCGGTTTCATGTTTGGGACTGGGCTTTTTAAAAATCTTGTCGCTGTCCCTGGGGATGAGACGGGGATGAGCGCCACGCCCTAGAGTCGGACACGACTGGACTAAATGTCAAGGGGGACCTTTACCTTCGCTGTCACTGGCAGATACGGAGCCAACCTAAGAAAGGGAGGCCTTAGGAGTGGGACGGGCAAAATGTGGCCCCATCCCCCTGGGCCACCTTAGTGACTTCTGGGCCAAAGAAGAAAAGACGGGGAGGGTCAGGGAGCAGGAGTTCCTCTTTAAAATGGGTTGGAAGGCCTGCTTGTGCCATTCAAACCCCCCCCCTTCTCCTTTTTTAAAAATGGCAAGTGAACTTCTGGCTGCTTCCACTTTATTCTCCTCCCCCCCCTTTTTGGCGTTTAGCAATCCTGGTTGTCCTTGGAAACAGGAAATTTGCCACCATGTCCACCCCGGGGTGGCCCCACTCCTGCCAAAAAGTGTCCCCCAAAAGTGGATGTGAAATCCTTTTCCCAACAGGGCAGAAGTAGCTGACATGCTTCCTGCCTGCGGTTTCAGCACACACCGGCAGAAAGCTCTTTTGCATCCTCATGCGCTTCAGTGCACAAAAGAGAAATTTCACAGTGAAGCTGCTGTTTTAATCAGTGACTGCTGAAACTTTCCTAGCACAAGTGTGGGCAACGTGTGTGGCCTTCCAGATGTACCCATTGCTCAGTTAAGGATGGCCCATGGGCAGATTTGCCAGTTTTGAACAGCTTGCTGACCTTGAAAGCTAATAGAGCTTCCATATCCAGGAATGGTGTACCAGTTACTGGAGAGCACTACTGGTGCAGCACTGTTTACAACCAGGTTCTCCTTCTGGTCTGTTTCATTGCTGGATGATCTTTCTTATCTTGATTCCGCTTGGGCTTTCTTCTTTTTCTCTCTCGCCCTGAATGCATGTATTTTAATGTATTAATTATTTATTGGATGTATGTCCTCTCTGCCTTTCAGGGTGGCATGTGGTACGGTGTGGACGTGAACAACGAAGACATCGCCGACAACTTTGCAGCCTGTGTGTGGGAGCCGGCCGTTGTGCGCATCAACGCCCTGACCGCCGCCTCCGAGGCAGCCTGCCTCATTGTCTCTGTGGATGAAACGATCAAGAACCCCCGTTCCACTACGGACGCCCCGCCGCTCGGCCGCGGCAGAGGGCGAGGCAGGCCACACAACCACTGAGATCCAGATGTCGCCACCAGTGTTAGCAGCCAAGGGTGCCCCCCTGTTCTATGAAATGTGGGCACCAGGAGAGCCGCTCTTAGCACCACTTAGGCCCCTTTACCTGTTTCGGCTACGGAAGCTCCCCGGGCATATTCACACACCACGATGTGCATTGTAGCATAACAATGTTCCATTTCAAACCTTGCCTTGAGTTTCAAGGGGAAGGTCCCTTAAACCTCAAGGGATGTATACCCTCGGATGCCCAAACCCCGGCGCCATAGATGGTGCTGGGCTCCTCTCCCTCCCAGGTTTGTCCTTGGCCTTCCACTGGGAGTGTGTGTGGAAGGACCCCGACTCTTCGCAGTGTTGGCATCCTGTTCGAATATTAAGATGGCTGCTGGTGGTTGGTATTTATTGATTTTTTTTTTGTACTGGGAATTAAAATCCAGGCATGAACGTTAATAAACAATTCCAAAAGTGCTTTGTGAGTTTCTTTGCCCTCCTGGCTTCGCCTCCTTTTTTCCCACCGTTGTTATTAAATCTTTCCCTAAATGGTCCGATGGGATTTTCCAACTGTAAGTCGGGGAGGATCTTGCAGTTCTACAACCTATTTGCATTTTCCTGCTGTTTCTGTACACAGGGTGGCCTTTTAAATTTCCCATTGTGGGGAACTAAGAATACAGCAGCTTTATGGGCCACGAGAAACGCCAACTTGCTTGCTCTGCTGTGGATGTCAGACAGGTTTTGGAGCTCTTTCACCTTGTGAGCCACTACCTAGCTGAGTGAGGTGGCTTGCTCTTTATGTCCAGAGTTGGGTTTTTTTGCACTGTCAAATGATTTTTGCAAATTTGTTTTTAAAAGGCACAGAGCATTTCAAAGATCAGCATCTCCAAAAACAGGATAGTTGGGGAAGTGAACTCCTACATTTTTGAACCTTCAGAGCGGATTGTGACACTGCACCATTCAGAAAAATCCCATGGAGGGTCTCCTCCTGACAGCCTGGCTCTCAAACCGTGGGAGTAATGTTAAAGCCATTGGCTCAAGCAGTGCCCTGGCCTTTTTCTATCCCACGCCAACCAATTCTGCACCAAGAAAGCAAAAATCTGGTATCCGTACAATCTGCGTATTTAGCGGATTTTTCACTACCTAAGCAAGTTTATTTGTTCTGTCCTGTCAAAGCACTTCTGAGTTATGACAACTCTAGGAATCCGTGACCTCCCCAAGGTCCTTGGTTTGCAGCCATGCTTGAGTCTTGAAAGATTGAAGGCCGTGGCTTCCCTCTACTGAGTCAATCTGTCTTAACATTTGGTCTTCCTCTTTTGATCATCAGCTTGATGGCTTTTTCCAGGGAGGCCTCTCATTAGGTTACTGAAACCGTGACGTCTACGTTGGCTAGAGCAGTGGTTCTTAACCTTTGCCTTAACATTTGGTCTTCATCTTTTGAGCATCAGCTTGATGGCTTTTTCCAGGGAGTCCTCTCATTAGGATACTGAAACAGTGACGTCTACGTTGGCTTGAGCATGTGATGGTCAGATTCTGAAATATCTTCTGTATGGAGAATTAGTGCAGGGAAAGCGTCCCAGAAGGAGATCACAGCTGTGCTAGAGCATGTGATGGTCAGATTCCGAAATATCTTCTGTACAGCGAATCCAGAAGAAGATCACAGCTGTGATACAAGGAGATCTGCAAGCGGGACCTGAAGGCCTTAGGAATGGACCTCAACCAATGGGAAACCCCGACATCCGAGTGTTCAGCCTGGAGGCAGGTGGTGCATCATGGCCTCTCCCAATTTGAAGAGACCTTTGTCCAGCAGGCCGAGGCAAAGAGGCAGTCCCGAAACCAGCAAAACCAGGGAGCTGGACAGGGGACAGATTGTACTTGTCTTCAGTGTGGAAGGGATGGTCACTCGAATCGGCCTTCTCAGCCACACTAGACGCTGTTCCAAGTCTTCCATTCAGAGCACGTGACCCTTGAGACTGAAGGATGCCTAAATCTAATAGCTCATTAGGTGCCCAAAGTACGATAGCCTCGGTTTAATCACTTTAGCTTCTAGTTCAGGCTTTCTCTGATCCAGAATTCACTTGCCTTTCTGGTAGTCTGTGGTTGCTCTTTGCGAGTCGTAAGCTTTACTGCTTGGAGTAATGCTGGGTTTACCCCCGCCCCCCAGAAGGAAGGGAAGAAGGATCTGTGCCGAGTCCAGGAAATCCACTGTTAGGGCAGCAAAATTATATCCAGACCCTTCCTTTTTCTCCCTTCTCTCCCAGCTCTTGACGATTTCCTGAGATCTCAGTAGGCATTTCCCATATCCTTTGATCTGTTTTTTTTTTCCAGCCACCGGGACGATGAGCTTTCATGTCTACTCCCATCCTTAAACACCACCTCTGGCTCTTGAGCAGGTGCAAAGCGTCCCTCTTCCCGCTCCAGGCGTTTGGTTCTCTTTAGAAGGCAAATTGCTTGCACTAATTGCCAATTTGTATGGCATCGTTTGCAGAATCCTCCTTGCGTTTCTTACATGATGCCTGGATTTAGCAGCAGGTCATTAAAACTGTACTCTCCGGCTAATGAAGCTCTACTTAGTTTCTGTTCTTGCTGCGCACGTTCGCTCCGGCTTCCCGGGGCGAGAGTGGTTGGGTGGGAAGCGAGGCAGCCGTAGAAGAACGAAGAAGCATGCCAGGCCTTAAGAATCAGCTTCTCCTGCCAGGGTGGTGGAAAACGGCAAAGGTGGCTCCCATCCTGCTTTTCTGATACGGGCGTCTGATCCAAAGCTGTCTATGGTTTACTCTTTGAGGAGTAATTCTAGCATTCCAGTCTTGAAGCCGAAACCGTCCACCCTGTCATCTGAAACATTGGGGATACCTGCGGGTTTTGTCCTCCAAATTTTTTTTTTTTGGAGGTGGCTACTCAAGTTTACTGATCTTGGTCAGAGGGAAGGCTGAGCCAACTTTGAGCTGGCTAGAGTAAATTCTTCTCTTGTCCTGACAGAATAATTTACTCTAAAGATGAGGGCGAGAGGAGAGGAGAAAAGGCCTGAACATTCTTCCATGCAAAAACCATTCCCTGCACATAGAAAGCTAGCTTGTCAGGGAGACCTGTATGTGCAGTATATTTTTATTGCATACCGTGGGTGGCAGGAGGAGAAATCTTTGAGGAGCACTTCGAGAATGCAGCCCTTCTACCCTTTGAGCTCCCCTCTGAAGCGCCACAGCTCAAGAGGAAACTTCACCCTCTCAGTGCACACTAGGCCGAAGTGTGTTGCAGAAATGGGAAAGCTTGCATCCTAGATGATGAACGCTTGTCAGTCTTCATAAAGGTACCACTCCCATTCATTTGCGTGAGTGTTTGTGAAGGACCCCCCGGAAGGAACAGCTGCCTAGTGAATTTTCCTGCGCGTCTACAGACTGGCAGCCGTTGGATAAAAGGCACGTTGCAGCTGCCATAGGCACCTGAGGTTTTTTACTGATCCAGAAAGTGGTGGCAGGTTGTGGGGGGGGGGGG